CGCAGTATTGTCAGTTGCCGCCCGCCGCCCACGCTGGTCGTAGATCGCCATGCAGTTGTCAAAAAACCGTCATCTTTCTGAAATAAAAAAGCTGGGAATACGTTTCTGGTGTCAAAACACGCGCAATGAATGTTGCATAGGCTTCCCAAAATTTGGACGGGATTGCAACATATGTCGGAGAGGTATCCTCAACAAAACATTAGGGGGATCCTATCAAGGCGAGGTTAGCATGATCTGCAGCCAGAAAAAGGAAGCTAAGTCTCGATCATGCAGCTTGTCCATTACTCAGCTATATTTTACCGTCTTGGACCGTTTTGAAGAATCAGACTGTAATACCACTTTGGCAGCCAACAAGCATATGGTAATACCAAAGAAGAGGAATGGTTTCGATTATTTCCTATTATTTATGCCAACGGGAACGTGAGTGTGGCGGACCACCTCTTGCCTCATTTACAAAATACTCCCATGGCATATTCACATCAGATATTCATATATCTTATTATTCACAGATCCATACTGCACAAAAATATCCTGCCAAAAATGCATTGCTTGCATAAATTAAGATACCATGTAACCACACACGATATGGATTGCTTTTCATTGGACACCAACTCAATCTACCTAGTGGAAATTGCCTTCAAGCAATCAACCAGCCTGCGAGCTCTGGAAAGGTGTCAGCTAGATATTAAGCCTGAAGAGGACATCCTGATGTTGCACCATGTTGCACGTTGCACAGGTCTTATCCCAATTTAAGGTTCTGCCTTCCCTGGTGTGCTCCAACATACGACCTATCACGGAACTTAGATCGCTTGGAACGCGTCCACAGAATTTTCCAAACCTTGATCACAAAAGTACTTCTGAAACTAGCATCCTTAGTTCACTTTTCAGGTGATTTTTCAAGGGGATTTTCAACTATGCACACTTGAATATATCACGACATATACTGAAAGGCGCTGCGAATCGAAACATGTCTAGGTTTCTAGTATGATGGGCGATGGTTAATCGCACAAAGTAGTTTTGTTTTTTAAGGTCAGCTAAAATGTAAGTAATCATTTATCGCCTGAAGACATTCATAACCTTGGTTCACATGCAACATCGTAAACGGAGTGGATTTATGCACCCCAGTTGTACGGTATCAGTTCATGCGCACGTATTTTTCGAAAGGGTAAATGCCTTCCTCATGAATTGCTAGTGACTAGCCTGGTCCTGTTCCCTACAGCTAGCCAACCGATTAATGGCCAGTTGGCCAAAGATTAGTAGTCAGTGTTTCTGCTCGGATCATCATTTGTTTGCTTCTGGCCACCTGTTTACGTCAGTTTTGTTTTCCCTGAAAGCCCCATTGAAAAATATCTAAGGGAGTATTCCACATTTGCATATGAGTTTGAGCTGAAATACTCATCTTGAAGATCATTCGGTGCAGTTAAGAGCCCTGCCCTTCTTAAAACACAAACCCCTTTAGCTTCTGAGCTAAGATGTCAGATTATTTTGGGGAGACTCATTCGAGGTCACCCAGGCATCCATGACGCTAAAATAACGCACTTAAAATCCCGTCATTCCCTTAGCCATACGGCGATCAAGGCCAAGAAAAACGCAATTGTCGAGTCGTTCATATCTAGTGTTCGAGAACGATCCCCAAATATAACGGCCGTCAACTGGGTCTTAATCAATGTTGTGCAAGGTACGATGACGTAACCCAAGGATGACGCATGGAGGTACATATTTACTCGACGGAAAAACGGTGTTATCTGGAGCAGTCTTTTCCACTTAAAAGGATACAAATTGGTGACGGTGAGCTTATTTCTTCAGCTCTAGTGCTTGCTTCAGTATCTACAACTGTGAAACATCCCCTTTAGGCATCTCTACGGGCCATTTCTGTTTCTACTTGCCGCTATATGGTCGGGGGGGAGTAGGAAGGGGTTCCACGATAAAAATCGCATTTGCACGCTTATATCTTTTTACAAAATCTGTAAATACATTTGATTGTAAATTGGCGTTTTGGATTCATCGCCGCCGTCAAAACGTCTGCTCGAATCTTAGACACCTCTAAGTAGCATTGAATAAGTTACACGCTCGGACATTTTCAACAAATCAAGCCGCGGGGCTTTTTTTGGTGTGCCGTAATTGGTAACCGTGTATTCCCAACCGAAAGAGCGTAGCTACTCGTGAGCTGGTTGTGGTGCAGGAAAACTTTGGAAATTTCAGTTTCTTATTTTGCTTTTGAACATCTTGACCTTGTGGGCTTTTCTTCCGTGATCTGCCTTGAGATTTGGTATGCAGAAACTTGCATTTCATTTCAAGCTCACTTAATGCTCATAAGTTTGCAAAAATGGATGCCGCTGGTCATTGTACCTTTTCATATATACGGACTGGGTAAATATATTGGCATGCAACAAAGGCCATTCAATTGCATGGACGATTCTCAGCAAGAAATCTAATACCATGTTTCTGAACTGGGATCAAAGTCAGGGACATTGCACGTCGAAGGCATATCGAAGCATGAAGTTGTCAGTTTGTTCCCATAATCACCATTTCAGTAAAATGCACACGACATAAGGGTGCAGCCAAGATTTTCTCAAGGAAGGAGCCCAGAGCTAGATGGGTGCGCATCAAGCCGATTCTAGACTTCCTGTTGGGAGCTCTGGGGTGGAAAACAAAAAATCTAGGGTTAAGGAAGGGGCCCGAGTCCTGTCGGCCTTTCCCCTGACTGGGCCCATGCGCTAACACCAACTGATCACTCCATGATTAACCTACGCCCAAAGTCGATCATAAGTACCTTTTTAGGTAAAGCTCGAAGCAAGATCAAACTGGGCTACTCAGAATGTATTTCAGCACTTAGCACATTTTTTATCATGGCTGCTGCCGTGCAAAACGCCAACCTCATGGCGCACGTGTGACCAAAATGGCTTCTACAAGAACTCTGAATTGCAGAACCCCTCTTTAATCAGTAATTTTTTTTTCAAGCACAGCCATGTAGCTACGTATCAACATTTTGTTTCCACTTAAGCAATCTAGTATCGTCTTAAGGGAACCAACAGCGTCTTTTGGATAAACAGATCCTGACGTGTGGCGATAACTGTCAAACTTGTCAGGCGCAAAACGTTCATGCTTATGTCCAAGCGCTGCATGGAATGTCGTTACTGCCGATCTCTGACGTGGGGTCATCCAGTTTGATTGTGCCATCCAGTTTCACTGTTATGAGGCTGCCTCCGCCTCCGGTCTGTGGGCAGCTCATGACCGAATATGGTCGCTGGGTTCCCGGACCAGGACGTGCGGAGGTGCTTTGTGTCCTTTACTGTGACGGCTCTGGCGAACCGACCACTGAGCGGGTGTTGCCTTCGTTTCCTCCTCCTTTGGAAAATAGATAAACTAAATAAACCTAACCTAACCTAACCTTACCTAACCTAACCTAACCTAACCTAACCTAACCTAACCTAACCTAACCTAACCTAACCTAACCTAACCTAACCTAACCTAACCTAACCTAACCTAACCTAACCTAACCTAACCTAGCCTAACCTAACCTAACCTAACCTAACCTGACCTACCCTGACCTAACTTAATAAGCCCGACGAGTTTTTTCTGATAGGAAGGGGAAGATCGTTTCGGGCCTCAGGATTTGGCAGCAGGTTGGGTCGACGATCTTTGCTCCCTTGGTGCGTGCCGCGGTGTACCGCGCCAACAATACGATCTCTCACACCGGCCCCATCGAGGCCCCCAATCCAGCACGCACGACCCACCTCCCCCTCCCCCTCCCCACATCGACAGAAGCAAAGATGGCGACGGCGATGACACCCCGTTGCAAAGAGTCGAATATCACGGACAGCTGTTTGCTGAACGATATGATGGAGAGGCGAACGGCGACCTCAGGTCATTGAACCGACGGATAGAAGCATCGCTATCGGGTCCAGGTGTCGCTCACGTGTTGTGCGCGGCTGAAGGTTCTATTGGCGACTGTGGAGGCGATGGCCTACGTTAATTTCGCGGAGAAGTATTCGTTTGTGCCTTGGTCCGGGATGCCATGTGGGGGTTCCACTGGGAGCCGTCGCAGCGTCATTGTTTCACGCGTCACAGGTTTCATTACGACGGTCAGGATATGGGGCGAGAAGACGTCAGAAGCTCCTGAAATGGCTACCGCCAGGGACTCCAAGACTGCCACTAAAAGGACAAAGGAACAAGATATACGTGGGTTGGAATAGCTGGCGCCATTAAAAAGCAAACTATTCCAGAAGAAGCAAAATGATTTCATTCATAAACATCAATACCATACTCGTGAATCCTTCCCTGCCGCACTCAGTCCCTGTTGAGAAGGACTGATACAACACGTAGCATTTTAGCGTGTTTATTGAGATCTTCTGGTATGCCTAGTTATTCACTGAAATACGAAAAGCCTGTTCAGGTTTATATCTCTAAGTTAAAACATCTTGCACTTGGTTTCGTGCAGTCACACGCTTAAACGCTTGAAAACTACAAGGGCGGATGCGGAAACATCACGACAGGGGGGATCTAGCGTTTTGTTCAACACGGCTTAAACAGGGCGCTATCTATAACAGTACCGTTTATCAGTATGAAGTACAGACCAACCATAAAAAGCACATTATGCAGTGTAACCTGCCACAAGTGCCCAAGGCGATGGTTTTCACCATCACGCCAGCCAATCTAACAATTGCAGGGCAGAATTCAGTTGGTCTGGTGAACGCCGCGAAACAAATATAAACTGTTAATGATTCTGCAAGTTCATTCGCTAGCTTTCGATAAGAAGCCTCACTATGCGTATTATCGGATTGTAGCATTGTTGTGCATTTCACGAATCTTAAGTGCAATGTGACGCATTTTAAGCATTACGTCCATTTAATCCGACACCAGCATCACCCAACAATTTAGCCGCCCTTTATGTGAGCTTTGTCCTATGCATGCGTACATGCCGGATCGCTGCTCTGATCCTGCCTTGTCTATCCCGAGACGCTCGAGGAAAACATGCATATTTTTGTGCTTGTATTGTCAAGTCGCGAGTAGGTCACCAACAGCTCAAAAGTGGCGTGGCTGTTCGATGTGCATAGGGTTTGCACTCTGTACGGAGAGGCGACAAGAGCCTAAGCCAACACCCACTCAAAGCGGTGCTAACGTGTCTCGCAACGATGTGTCACGGGGTCCTTATACTTGAGGTGCCCGTTAACGACCGATAAGGTACGTCACGCGTAACCAAATACACGTGGCTTACCTCACGCTCTGCAGAGTGGTTCCGTTTCATTCCCTGAGGGGCATCTGCGGCCCTCTGAACATGCCGTCCCGACGGCCTGCATCACAGTCAGCAGCCAGACTAGCAGGGCCAGACCAGCCATGCAGGTCATCATCACGGGGAAGCCGTAAGCGTCCACAAGAAGGCCGCCAGAAACGGGACCCACCACAGAGCCAAGCGAGTAACCGGTCCAGTACACACTCGACACAAACGCCTGCGTCACCAGATCGTCCGCCAGGCCCTTCCGCACGCTCTCCTGCAGCATCTGCGAGAAGCATGGGATGTAGGCACCGCCGAAGAAGCCTTCGAGCAGCGTCTGCCCCAGGCCGAGGAGCCACCAGCGCGGTGCAGTGTTCAGCAGCGGCGAAGGAGCGATTAGCAGTAGGCTGCCTGTCGTCGCCAGCAGGCAGAGCGACATCTGCACGTAGGGGTTGCGGGAGTGCTCGGACAGCCGGGCCCACATGAAGCTGGTCAGAGCGTACACTGTCGTGGCCACCAAGAAATAGAGTCCCAGGGTTGACGGTGTGACGCCCAGCACCTTGTTGGCATACAGGGCCATGCAGGATTCGAACGTTATAAACACGAATGAGTAGAGGAAGACAATCATGAGGCACAGCCAGTTCTTGAACGACCGGGCGAACACACGCAGCATGCTGAGGAACGGGACTGCGTTCCTCTCGCACTTGACCAGCGGCGGCATCATCCACTGGTTGAGCAAGGCCGCGCCGACCATCGTGCCGCCGAGTACGTAGAAGGGCATGCCGAAGCCGGCGACGGCGTACAGGCCTCCGCCGACGGCCGGTGCGATGGCGAGGCCGGCCGACTGGGCGGCGCCCACCAGCGCCACCAGCATGCCGGCCCGGTCGGCAAACTGGTTACCGATGATGGTGAAGGCGCAGCCGGACACGGCCGCCGTCCCGACCGCTTCCACCAGTCGCACCAGGAAGCAGGCCACCACGAAGGCGTTCTTGCCGTGGATGTAGTTGAGCGTGCCGAAGGTGATGGTTGTGAGGCCAGCCGTGGCGATGCCGATGTTGTAGAGCCGGGTGACGCCGACCACGGGCCCCAATCGGCCGACGAGGGGGCTGGCAATCATCTGGGCGACGGCGAAGCAACTGAACACGGCGCTGATGAGGGTCTGTGAGACGCCTCGCGAGGCCGCCTCCACCGGAAAGAACGGCACCATCACCGCTATTAAGGAACCGTTTAACAGGCTCACCAGAGTTAAACCAACCAGCAGCCTCTTCTGGGTCCATGACATCTTGTTTTCAGTTGGCTGAGGCCCTTTGCCGCCGGAACATGATGCTGTGACAAATGTCTCTCCATTGGCCTCAGTTTTATCACCTGCTCCATAGTTGTACCCTGATGTCTTGTTTTCGTTCAATAGCAGTGGAGCTTTGTCCGAGTTGCTAGACATCATAGGCTATCGGTATCACAAAATCGAGTAGAACCCCTCGTTGTATGGTCTTTTAAACAGGTCTGAGCCTCTGCATGCAGGGAGCAGCGAATGCTATTCTGGAATCTTCGACATCAAATATGCTGTAAGGGTGATCTACCCAGGGCTTTCAGATCTTGCTCGTTTGATTCATGCGTTTGGGGAATGCCAGTACAATTTTATCGTCGAAGCTTCACGTTTGCTTTCTTATCACGGGCAGATCGCTTTACAGCCTGTGGCGCAGTGTGAAGCAAAGCTGTCGTATCCTGAAAGAAAATTAATCTTATCATTATCAGTGACATTGATGAAAGGAGAGCGCGAGCCGTTTAATGCAACGTCCTTCATTCAGCTGCTCCCACACCATGCATACCTGGTGGTTTGGTGATGAGCACGCCGATCAAGTTTGTTTCACGAGTAGCAGAAGCAATGGGTTCGAGACACACCTGCATCGTTTCGGCTTTCACATACAGCGTAAAATTCCCACCACGAGGAGAGAAACATTACGGGGCGGCCGTGCTGTTACCGTGCATGGTGTCTTACAAATGCCGGTTAATGTGGCACTATCTGATCAACAGCTGCGGAAAAACCGGTCCGCTCTCCGAACAAGCCACAGTTCAGAACATTTAGGTGGTGGCGGCGGTGCACACCCTCCAGGCAACAAATTATGCCGTAGCCTCTGTGCGTGGTAATAATGGGAGAGGGGCTGGCGAATATTTCTCTGTAGTTTCAACGGAGTCCTCCGCCGTTGTGCTTCACTTTTTGTGGCATCAGGCGTGTACAATTTGATCAGCAGTGCCTGTTTTTCCGAAATCCTTCTGATAATTTTATCCGAAACAGCCTATCCTGCGGGACAAATCTCGTTTGTCCTGCGGGACAAATCTCGTTTGTCCTGCGGGACGAATCTCGTTTGTCCTGCGGGACCAATCTCATTTGACTTCCTGCTTACCACTTTGAAAGTAATGTATTTCATTTGCCCCACTCTTTCAACGAGTGTGCCCGGTAATGTTTGAAACACGCTTATGTGTCGAAATGTGTGTCTAGTAGATGCTCCGAAAGCTTGAAACACCCTGTCTGAGCAAAAATAAGCAAACAAGAATCTATCACCCCATGAATTCAACGATACAGTAAACAACAGCGCTGATCTATTTCCCACGACGTTTATCATAGTGGCCTTTTCGAGGCACACTGGCTTGTGGGGCTGGGAAAGTCACATGATCCTTGTGATGCATAAGTTCAAACTTCAACCAATGCTCTTCTCGGTAACAGGCCTTTGCCCACTGGGCCAATCACAAACGTTCTTTCACTCGCACCAGTAGAGGTGCGCACGGTGGTTGACTTGACGGTGATCGCGACTGCACAGGAGTGTAGTGCTGTTGACAAAGCGTTAACAGCGTAGTTTGGACTCAAAAATAATTAAAATTGGTATCCATGTTATGCCTTGACGATGTTTTAATGAGCCAATCCAGTGTTATTCTTAGCCCCCACCATTCCTGAGGTCTCACAAGCGCATGTTTTTGAAATGCAACAAAAGGCGGGACACTCCCTCTAATCGGCCTATTTCACAAGATACGCTAGTCTGAACCTAATGTCCAGACGAAGGATCGAATTACATGTGTGCATATGTTTAAATTTCATTCATCCACTGCCGAGAGACAGTGATGAGCTTGAGTGGGTCAGATCCAGGCATCGGCTGCGGCACTTGGGCGCGGGTCACCACGACTCTGCCCTTATCCAGATCAACAGTGCCGCGCCAGATCCACGTACGCCTAGGTCGGATCGATGGGATTGGTGGCCTGCTCGAAAACCATCACATTGCTGGCCAGGTTGTCAGCAGCTTCATTTCCAGGATAGAAACCGACATGACCCAGTCCCCAGTGCAGAGTTAGATTATGACTTTACCATACGATGCGTGCTCCAGTCTCCGTATTCTAGCAGAATGGACACGGACCTGGCCGGAACGCGCGTCTACAGCTGCTGCTGACCTGATTTTGGATCTGCGATGGCGTGGGTCTCGTGGATACGCTTGAGGTTCGAGGCCGGCAGACCGTGCACAACCTCCCACGCCTCCCATAACGGTTAGTTTGGCACGCGACTCCCTAGGGTTTTCGGAGGATACTTCTCCGGCATGTCGCGCAATCGCGCCCAAACCTGCAGTATCCTCCGGAGCATCCATTGCACTTTCTTGACGTAAAAGGCGTCCCCCAGCAGTGCTGGTTTCTGAGAAGGTATTGTCTTTTAGCAACACCGCATGGTGATTCATCGCTGGCGCGGGCGACGGGCGGCAACTGACGATTTCGCGGGCCGCGCGCGACGTGCTGGCACCGCTACATTAAAGGAAGTGTGTATAGTCAAGTTAGGATTTTTGACTGTGCACGTAGGATGGTAGGGAACTTTTGATTTAAAAATTGTGGTGCCTTGGTTTCTTCAAATTCGCCTCTATTGACGAGATATTGTCACAGCCCCCAAATTTGCTTTGGTTTGTATGGAAGAACGAAGTTATCGGGCAGCTCCCAAGCAATATTCACTTCTAACCACGTCGACATCATTCGGAAGGTGTCGTTAGCTCTAGCCAATGGCTTTCCGGTGATGTCGCTTGTCAGCGCTGATAGCAGTTTGCGAACGCGGCAGTGACGGCGGCCATTACGTTGTTTTTGTGTTAACACTCAGCTGACGGTTGTGAGTATACGGCTTTAGACACATGGTAAGGCTGGTCAACTGATACGCACCAGTTCATGTCGGTCTACTATATGCTAAGATGAGGAACAGGTATTGCGTCGTGTCAGTCAGCTGTACCAGGCTCTAGGGAAATGTGATTGTCGTACGCTGCTTAGCAACCAACATAATGGCCATGTCTCCAGCGCGCAGTTACTCGCCACATATAAGCCAGCGCATTCGTCCTTTCCTGCCCGCTGATTGGCTGATATACCATACCTCACCGCCACTGCAGTGAGGTATTGGCACCGCACGCTCTGTTTAAGTGCAAACAATCATCATGGCACAGTGTGGGTTAATGCAACAAGTAATTCACGCTCTCCTCTATTTTTTTTTTTACGTGTTTGTGATGTGTAATCATTAGGTTCCAGGTCCATAGCTGGAACATATGTTGTGCTGCGCGTGAATATGTCTGACAGATTAGTGGAAATGTTAGGGCTGGACATGATGCAATCAGATTTGAATTTGATTCGCGACTTGACTTAAGTTCATTAAAGATATGTACACTGCCCAAATGCCGCTTTAAAAAGACACGATTTTGTTCCATGAGCGACCCTGAAATCAGAATTGTTTGAAACACAAGAAAAGGTCGTCATATAACGAAAAAGTCGCAGCGCCGGATATCCAAAATAATCAGCCAATGGCGCTAAGCACGGCCCGTTGCGCGAAAATTGACCCGCGTTTCATGTGACCGAAGCCATAAAATAGGCTATCCAGTGTTCGATTTGTGTTTGGTGGTTCTGGATCGGGCAGCAAATATTGCCCAGGCGTGTATTGTAAAGGCTAGAAATCTGAATTTTAGGCAATATGGAAAACTGAAATTCCATTTCAGGCGCAGTGATTAAAGATATAGAAAAATGTGTAAGACCTAAAACAGGAAAACAATTCTCAACCTATGGCAACGCAGTTTCCAACATCAAAAAGAGGGCATAGCCTACAACAAAGCGGTGGAGAGTGATTTTTATGGATGAATTAAACCTAGCAAGAGCTCTTTCTCCAACGCTGACATTGCCACAATATGTCGTAAGATAGAGCACTTATGGCTGTGAAACGGACACTGACCAAGGTTGTTCTCGCCTCTCTCCGTAAATGCCACATCATAGGTCTTAACCGAACGGCCGTGCTCCTTGGCCTTACGCCCGCTGCGCCGGCCACTCGTGCCCCAGGACCCACGTGCTAATCACCGGAACTTTTGCATGACCAACAAATGATGCTTTAGTGCGAATAAGCCTTCCGAAATGAAAACATTCGTGGCGCCCGGCGTTTGTGATTTGTGATGTTTATGACGCATTACAATTGATTTATTTTTCTTTTGCGTGGTTTATCGCTTTTATGGTTACATTGCAATGGTATGTGATGGATTTCGTTCCAGGTGACAATTCAGGCTGTTCCAATTTTCGTCGGTGACAGAAAAGATGCACTCTTACTCTGGCTATTGCAGCGCAGCCCAGCTTAGCCCGGGACGGACTCAAAGGGATCACATTTTTGCAGCCGCTGTTTGCACCACGGATACATTTCCGGCAACAGATACCGCAACTGTTCAAAAGTTACTTGTATCTTCCAGGCATTTTAATGCAAACGATTTGGCAAGGCGGAGTATAACTGCAGTTAAAACATCATCACCGCTTAACCTATTCGTATGACTGACGTGGGAAGCACAGCAGCCTTAAATCGCCAAACGTGAAAAAAACGGGTCGGAAACTGATACAAATCTCGGCGACTAGAACCCGCAGTGGTATTGCCATATTCAGTTCCAACAGAGGAAAAAGTTTGCACATTTACATACAACAAACGATAAGTGAGTCGATGGGCGCCGGCTACCACACACAGCCGTGCGCCAACCATGTATCGACCCGTTCTGGATTTTTTTTTATGGCTTGGCGTCAGCTTTCTTATAGCAGAGCGGATGCAGATGGGAGACCAAGTGCGCGGTGCACGCGAATACGCCGACCAAAATCAGGTCAGGTCAGGTCAGGTCTCAGCTGCGCGACTCCAAGGTGCGCCAGCGTTCAACCGACAGTCAGTCAATGCCAACGCTT